CCTACTTTAATGTGCTTTCTTCTTAATTTCCATTTGCATCTGTGCAGTTAAAAAAAAGTTACAATGTCTTTCTTTCCTTTTTTGTGTCACTGTTGCACCTCCTCTACATTTCCCCCATAAAACTGAGAAGAAAAAAACCCAAAAATCTTTTTAAGCTTGGTAAAGCCAAAGGAGTCAGCAAAGAGACCGTGTCCCAAAATGTTTGTCTCTTTCTGTAGTTTGTGTCCACCCCAAGCCCTTTCTCTCTGGGACGGGCATAACACGCTTCAGTCGTGGGCCTCCAATGTAATAATTGAGCATTGCGTGGATCACATCTTCAGTCTTCCGAAGTCGGTTTTCTTTAGTGTTTCATTCTCTGAATAAATTGTTCTCCTGGTTCTGCCCACTTTACTCTGTGTCTGTTCATAATACCCAGGATTCTCAGAAATCGTCTCATTCATGATTTTTTACAGTGCATCTGTATTCCATTCCATTCATATGCAAGTTTGTTAGGCGGTGGCAATGTATGGCACCCCTTCCTTTAGATTTGAGTCACTCTCCTTACCCCCTTCCTCACTTTTATTTAGTCAGCTCTTTTGGGATCAGAAAATTTGTTTTGGCTTGTGATTATTCCCTCCCCAGCATTATCCTCTCTCTTCACCACCCCCTCTGTCCTACCTTCTTTCCCTCTTAGGATTGATGTATTTCTACACCAAACTATGTCTGTGTGTGTGACTGTTTGTGTGCATGTAACCTTCCTTTCTCCATTTTAGAAACGAGGTTCCTCTGATGCTTGCTCTTTTCACCCTTTTCTCTATATTTAGATATTCTTTTCATGCATTGTAGTTATGAGGAATAGCAAGTTCCATCCCCCTTCTTCCCTTATTTTCTACACTATGTCTTTCTTTTAGTCTTCCTTCTTTTTTCTTCTTTAAACCCTCAGAATAGATCCAGTCAGCCTCAGCATTGATATTTTTCTTGTTTCACTCTCCTAAATGCCTTTTGAAGTGTCCCTTGAGGGACACACTTGTTTCTTTTCTATTAGGAGTTTAGTACTGTATCATCATACATTGTCTTCCAATTGCTGGAATACATTTACCTTTATAGATTTCTCTAGACTCTTGTGTTTATATTTCAAAATTCCTACTCTGTTCTCATCTCTTCATCAGAAATGCTTGAAAGGCCTCTATTCCATTAAAGGTCTATTTTTTTTTAAAAACTCTGAGTAATGATACTCATCTTTGTAGGGTAAGTTATTCCTAGTAGTAAACCTCTATCTTTTGCCTTTAGGAATATTCTATTCCAAGCTCTCCTCTTACTTGTAGTTGAAGCTACCAGTTCTTGTGTGATCCTGACTATCTACTTGGTACTTGAATTTCTGGATAATTGCAGTATTTTTTCTGTGATATAGACATTCTGAATTTTGACTATGACATTCTTGAAACTTTTCCTTTTGGAGTTCCTTTCTTAAGGTGATTGGTGAATTTCTTCTGTCTTCACTTTGCTCTAACAGTTCTGAGCAATTGTCATTTATGATTTCTTGAAATATTGTATAAAGGCTTTTTTTAAAGCATATTTTTCAGAGAGTACAATGATTCTTAAATTATTTCTCCTTGATCTGTTTTCCAGTCCTTGGGGTTTATTCTAATATTTCTTGCTGTCTCATGTAGTCATTGATTTCTGTTTGATTTATTCTAGTTTTCAGAGATTCCATTACTTTGTTTTCTAAGCTGTTTATTCTCTTAATTCTTCTATCTGGAGCTTTTAAAAAAATGTATCTCTTGCTTCATTTCTTCCTGGTATTCATGTAGTCCTTAAGTCTCTGCTTGAAGTTGTATTCACCCCTTTTTGGGAGAACTGTATGTTTATAATCATTTTTGATACTGGTTGGTGTTTCCTTTGCCTTACTTGTTTCTTCAGCTTTAGCTCCTGATTGGTGCTCATTGCCAGCATCATGGTTCACTCACTGCTCTTGGGTGCGGTGGGGTGCTTGGCTCTCTTTGGGCTCACCCTGAGTCCTCCTAGGTCCTTTTACTGACCTCTGCCTCCCAAAGCCAGCCCCCCAGTTTGTGGAGATTCATAATGCTGGATGTTCAGGACTTTCTCAGTTCAGAGTGTGAGGTCACTTGGAGGATCCCCCCCCACCCCATGTGAGTACTGCACTGGTCACTGCTGGCTCTCCAGAAGCTTCCACACTCCCCACCCCAGGCCTTTCTCAGGGGAATTGTCCGCTCATGCTGTCCTTGGGCACAGAGTCGTGCAGGCTCCATGTGTCTTGCCTTCAGAGGGGGGAGATGTTGGTACTGGCTGGGTTGGAGAGGTCACCTTTCTTATTTCCCATGGGTTTCTGGCTGATGTGTGATGGCAGAAACTCATTAGATTTTTTAAACAATCATTCTTTAGTTGCTTTTTAACTACCTTCTGCCAGAAAGTTTTATGGCTTTTGGAGATCATTGTGATTGTTTTGGTCCAGAAATTGGAAAAACATCTGATTTATCACAGTTGTCTTTTGTAATGAGAGGCAGCAATGGTATAGGGGAAAGAATACTGGATTTGGAGTCAAAGGACCTGGATTCAAATCCCAGTTTTGTCACTTAATCCCTCTTTGACCTTGGACAAGACATTTGATCTCCGTGGGCCTCAGTATTCTTATCTATAAAACAAGGAAGTTGGACTAGATGCCCTCTGAGTTCCTTCCCATTGTAGAGCTGTGATCCTATAAGTCACTTAACCTCCCTGTGCCTCAGTTTCTTCATCTGCAAAAAAATGTTTTTCTTAAAGACCAGCCTTAACCCCTGGTCACTCTGGCTCTCATTGATTGGCCAACAACCGGTTCCAGGCCAATTTGCTACTTGGTCATTTTTGGCCAGAAACCCTGAGGGTCTTCCTTCCCAGATCAATTTTTTAAAAAATTTTTGACTAGGTAAAGAGACCATTCTCTGCCTCAGTTCTTATCAAGTTTTAATCATTGAATGGGTGTTACCTCAGTCAAAATGAGACCTGTTAAAGACCTTAGTTTGAAAAGGCCAACGTCTCCCACATCTCCCACTGCATCCGGGGCCATCTGCAGTTGTTCTGATCTGTATCTGACCACTGGACCCAGATGGCTCTAGAGGAGAAAGTGAGGCTGGTGACTTTGCACAGCCCTCCTTCACTTAAGTCCGATTCACTTGCACGTCATGGCATCATCTCCTTGATGTCATGGTCCTCTTTGAGAATGAAGGACAGACAAACAACAACAAAATTGGGGGTGGATGGTCTGAGAGGCCCCTTCCAGCTCCACATGTGACCCTGAGGATTTTGCCCACTACCCATATTTTGCAGAATGTAATATGGGTGCAATGATGTCCTGTCTTGAGCCAGCTTGTATCATCACTCTATAACCTATTAATCAAACCAAGAAAAACCACATGAATGTCAGGGATGGGGGGAGGTTACAGAGCTGGTGATGAGGGTCCGTGTTACAGGTCTGAGGGAAAAGATCATAGCTGGCTACTCAGAAGGAACTTGAGAACCCTGAACCTGGTCTAACAGTGTTAATAGGCTTCATGTCTCCCAGTGGGTTGGGTTCCCTAACACCCACGTTTCAGATGGAGGCTGTATGACCACTTGCCAGAAATGAAGAAAGGATTCATGAGTTAGGAGGAATCACAATCTCATAGTCTCCTAGACCCAGAGCTGGAAGCAACCTGAGAGACTGCTAGTCCAACTTCTTTATTTTATACAGGGGGGAAACTGAAGCCTTTTTTTGGAGGTTAAAAGACTTCCCCAAGATCGCACAGAAAGTAAGGAGTAGAGCAGGGCTTTAAACTGGGATTCTTTGGTGCCAAATTAGTGCCCTTTTTACTTAGTGTTCTGCTGCCTGCCCTGATTCCCCTGAGGTCCTTTCACACTCTGTGGCATAATGCTTTGAGGATTAAACTCAGAGTCAGGGAGCCCTGGGTCCAAGGTAATTGGCTTTGTAACCCTCCTAGGTGAGTAGTTTCACCTTGGTCTCACCTTCCTCACCTGTAAAATGGTACTCATGCCACAGGGATGCTGTGAACCTCAGATGAGCTCATGTATTCGTTCTTAACCTTGTCTGTGCCATGGACCCCTCGGACAGTCAGTTTGGTCAAACTTGGGGACCCTTTTCAGAAGCATGTTCTTAAATGCATCATATATGAAATACATAGATTTACAAAGGAAATCAAGTATATTGAAATTCAGCCATCAAAATATATATATAAAAAAAGTCAAGTTTCCAAACCCCATGTTAAGAGCTCTTAATAAGAGGTCTGGTGGTTTTTATTTTCATTTATTTATTTATTTATTTTTGAGGCAATCTGGGTTAGGTGACTTGACCAGGGTCACACAGCTAGTAAGTGTCTGAGGTCAGAATTAAACTCGGGTCATCCTAACTCCAGGGCTGGGGCTGTATCCGCTGTACCACCTAGCTGCCCTAGTTTTTGCATTTCAAGCATGAGTCAATTAAGTCAGTTATTGTTAGTAGGAGGTGAGGGCTTGGTCAATCCAGGAGCTTCACATTTCAGATCTGTCCAGGAATCAATCCCAGGGTGTAGAGGCAGCTTGTAGATTTCAGGTCAAAGAAGGAAACTAGCCTTAGTTTCTTCATCTGTAAAATAGGGTAACTATTTTCTTAATGGGGCTGTTGTGAGGAAAACTTTTTTTAATTTTTTTTATTTTTTAAAGACCACACCTATGATTTCACTGGTATTTAAAAAATTCCCAGTGAGGAAGCTCCCTCTGCCAATGTAGATCTGTACTTCTACAATTTACAGCCTGAGAAATGGAGACATTAAGTGACTTGTCCAGGGTCACACAGCCAGGATGTGTCAGAGTGGGGCTGCTCTGGCCTGAGGCCTGCTCTCTAGGCCTTGCTGTCTCCCAGGAGGATAGAAAACAGGAAATAAACAGATCAGGCCAGAAAAGGAGGGTGGAGTTGGGAGGGGGCGTGAAGGTAGCCCAGGATTCCAGGCCTGTCCTGGTAATTGTTGCTATCATTTCCCTTCCTTTGAAAGCTGGGAGTGTACACTCTCCTTCTGCCAGCATGGCGGCCTCCACCCAGTACCGGCAGTTGATCAACGACTATGGACCCCCATCTCTAGGCTACACCCAGGTAAGGCAAGGGTTCTCCTTATCTTTCCTCGTGGGCTATGTCAGGCCTGAGAGACAGGAAGTGGAGGGATGCAAGGGTGGGAGAGGTAGCCACTGTGCTCTGGGGGATCCTGTCCTGCTTGGAGAGAATGACCACAATATCCTTCTTCAAATAGTCTTGTCCTAGGGGAATACCATAAAGATGGGCATCCCCACCAGCCCCCAAGGGACCTTACCATGTAGGCAGAGAGGTGGGCATACATAAACACGTACAGCAGAAGGCACACAAGCCCTTGCCCTTACCCACACCCACCAAGCACATGAGGTACACAGTTTGGAGCTGAGGAGTGACCAGGGCTGGGTGGCATTAAATAATAATTAATTAAATAATTATTCAATATATATAAATATATATAAATAATATATAAAAATTATTTAATAAATATATATAAATATATATATATAAATTAAATAATTTAAATAATATATAATTAAATAATAAAGGGAAAGCTTCTTGGAGGTAGGAAGTTTGGAACAGGGCCTGAAAAGGGCAAGGTGTCCCTCGCCTCATGGTTTTTTCAGAAGCTTACTTCTTGATTCCCTGGGGGCCCCACATAGTTCGTAGTAGGTTGGAGTCATTTTTCTGCCCCCAGATCCTCGGCTTGGGATGGCTGGTAATGGGACTATCTCCACGCTGGCCAAGATGGCAGCAGAGAACGTTGGGTTATTAACAAAAGACCAGAGGCCTTCCCTCCCCATCTGGCCAAAGTAGGTGTAGGCTTCAAAAGTGACCCCGACACAGATTTTTCCAGTTCATGCTGGAGGTCAGAGACTCGGGGACAGTGGCAGGGACCAGGACAGCTCCTTCCAACTGGCACCATTCCTCTAACCTAAGCTAGCTAAGGAGTCTCCTGTGAGTCAGTGCTGTTCCCTAGGAGAACAAAGTCCTAGAAGGCCTGTGTGTGGGCCTTCTGACCCCTTTGGACGGACGGGGGAGAAGGAAGACCAGTGCTTTGTCTGGTCTAATCAAACAGGAAGGGTGGCTGTTGGGTCCCTAATTCTAATACCCTCCTCCAAGAATGGGAGCCAGGTGCCCACACCCCCACCATCGGCTGCAGCTGGGTCCCCAAGCCTTAGCGGGGCAGAATAGGATTCCAAGGCAGGGATATTGTTACATATCCAGCCCAAGAATCTAGCCATTCAGAGATGGGGTGATTGTTCCTCGGAACACAGAAGCCCATGGCCCAGTGGGGTCAAGAGCTCCCCTCCTCATGCCCCGCCAAGCCTTCTTGTCCCAGGAGGAGAAGCAAGCAAGGGCTAGGGAGCAGGACCGGCTCAAAAAGCGTCGAAGACGGGAGGATGGCCTGAAAAGGAGTCTGGAGAGGCAGAGGAATGCAGAGGCCATGAAGTGCCGGCGGGAAAATGAGAAGGAAAGGGAGAAGGAACGGAAGAAAGACCAAGAGGCCAAGAGGAGGCGCAGGGAGAACGTGGAGGAAAAGGAGAAGGAGCAGAAGAAAGACCGTGAAGCCAAGAAGAGGCGGAGGAGGGAGAAGAAAGAAGAGAGGGAGAAAGTACTCTACCAAGATGTGGCTGCCCTGACGCAGCTGTCAGAAAGGGAGGAGGACGAGGACGAGGAGGAGGGAGAGGAGGAGGAGGGAGAGGAAAGGGAGGAGAAGGAGGAGAGGGAAAGGAGAGAAACACAACAGACATCTGTGTTCCTGGGATTCCCCGCTTTGTTGATCTGGGTGCGTGCCTTGCAGTACTCTTTGTAATTGTCAGGAAAAAAAAGGTTTATTTTTCGGAAGAGCATCACAGAGGCCTAGAGAGAAGATGAATAAAAATGCCTTCCACTGTCCCTCTGTCGTTTTTAAAAAAAAAGTCGAGCCAGTTGTAGAGCCCAGGTCTTCCCCCTTGGCTTTGGCCACAAATCTCTAATGTGTGGCTCCTGGGGCCTGAGGGGCTGCTCCTTCTAGGATAGCAGAGCTGTGCCACTGGCAGCATGGTATTCTTACTAATTTTTGCCAGTGGGGATGGAGGCACAGAGAGATTTGAAACTTTGCTCAGGCCGGGAATCCTTCTCCCGTCTCAGAGATCTCAAAGGGTAGACTGGTGTAGACTGGAAGGGCCCTGGCAGGCCATCAAGTCCCACACCCGCATTTACAGGTGAGGGAAGTCCTTGCCTGAGGTCACGTGGGTAACAAATGACAGAAGCAGGCCTGGAAGCTTGGTTCCGGGCCAGGCTGCCTTCCCGACTCCCACTTCTCAGGTTTCCCTTTCTCAAGGCCAGACTGTTTTCCCATCATGCTCTTCCTCACATGCCTTGCCCACCCAACGCTCCCTGTTATGCTGCTGCCTGGGCTGGGGGGGCATATGGGGGTGTGATTGGGGACCCCCGTCCCTTGCTCTCGGATATTGTCCTGACTTTGGCAGCTGCCAGGACATGACATGACCCAGCTGGTGGCCCAGGCTGGCTGCAGCCAGGCCAGGTCTCTAGCTCTGGATTTCTCCAGTCATCCTAATAAACTTCTCTCTGACTCTAGGGTACGGGGAGCAGCCAGGTACCCCAAAGCAAATATGCAGAACTCCTGGCTATCATTGAAGAACTAGGCAAAGAGATCAGACCCACGTATGCAGGGAGCAAAAGCGCCATGGAGAGGCTAAAGCGAGGTACGTGTTGGGTGGGCTCTGGGCACAGCCCCAGAGGGTGGGGCTTATTTGAGGGGGTTTAGAATCATCATTTGATGATACAGGCCAGAAGGAATATAGGATCAGAGCCCCAGAGCTGGAGGGGACCTTAGGCCAAGCTCCTTTCTTTACAGATGAGGAAACTGAGGCACAGGAAGATGAAGTGATCGCCCAGGGTCACGTAGGTGATAGAAATGGGATTAAAACACAGGTCCTCTGTTGCTGTTTTCAGCTTCAAAAACAGAATTCATCACTGGCCCTGGCTGCATGGAGCGGCCAAGGAAGGGAAGCCCCGTTCTTCCATTAACCAGTGAGAATCCTAGTATCACAGTACCAGAACTGGGAGGGATCTTAGAAGGGGAGGCAATCTGACCTAGTGGATGGAGTACCAGCTTTGGATTTGAGGAGACCCAGGCCTGACTCCTGCCTGCCACACGTCTTAGCTGTATGATTAGCAAGTTATTTCACCTGACTCAGCCTCAGCGCCCTCACCTGTAAAATGGAATGAGGAATCCGGTCTGTGCAATGGGAATAATGACGGGTTGTTGTGAAGATGCGATAAGGCCATATTTGTAAAGGGCTCTTTGTTTCTGTTGGGGCAGCTCGGTGGCGTAGTAGAGAGAGCGCCAGGCCTGGAGTCAGGAAGATTTGAGTTCAAATCCTGCTTCAGAGACTTCTTAGCTATGTGACCCTGGGCAAGTCGCTTGACCCTGTTTGCCTTAGTTTCCTCATCTGTAAAATGGGCTGGAGAAGGAAATGGCAAACCACTCCAGTATCTCTGCCGAGAACATCTCAAATGGGGTCACAAATCAGACACAACTGAAAAACAACAGTAAGTAGGATCAGATGAGGTCATATTTGTAAAAGACTTAGTAGACCTTAAAAAGCTGTTGAAATGGGAGATATTATTAGTCTAGCTTCAGTTCCAAGTGTGGAGGCCCCTTCTACATGAAAGACTGGCACCTGCTCTTAAAATGATTTTGACTGATGAGGCAAAGAAAGGGCCAGTGATTTGCCCAAGGTTACACGGGCAGTAAGCAGCAGAGCTGGGATTTGGACCCAGTGTTGGCTCCAGTTTGGGACCCAGAGGTCCCTGAGTGAAGTGGCAGGATGATTCGGAGAGCTACCTCCCAGTCTCACTGCTGACTTGGGCACATGTGGCCGTGCAGTGTTAAGCTTAAGGCCTTTCTCCCCAGCAAAATGCCCTGCGTAAGGGGAATTTTTAGGTCTCTCTGGAGTCCATCTGGTTTTTGCCATGGAAGCTTAGCCCCAGCTTGCCTGTGGTTCACTTAGTTGACACTGGTCCCAGCCCTGGGGCAGAGAGTGCCAAATAAAACAGACCTCCCCTTGGAAACAAAGCCCTCATCTTGGCGAGGTGAGTGACCTCTTCCTAGTGGGCAGACTGGCTTCCCAAAAAGACGCCGTCCACCTGAAATGGACACAGCTTTCTCTCCCAAGGGACCAGTTCCTGGGCAGCGTGCAGGAAGGGATGGGACTGAGGGGTTCCAAAGTGGACATTTCCTGCTGGGCTTCCTTTAGCACAGAGTGCCAGGGAGGATGAGCCCGAGTGTGGGATATGGGGCCAGGGAACCTTTTGGGATTGTTTCTCCTCCAAGAGGATTAGATGAAATGAAAGCTTGACTAAAGTGAAAATGACTGGGTGATTGCAGAGGCGACCTAAGTAGGTTGCTATCTTATGTACCCAAAAAGAAGGGGAAGAAAAAAAAAACTTTTCTAATTTAAAAGGTGGCAGTTCAGAGGAGCAAAAGCCTAGGGCCTGGGGGCCGGGGTAGGATTAGGGATGTAGACTTTAAACAAGCCAACTCTCACTGAAGGACCTAGGCCAGCAGGGTTGGGGAACCTGCGGCCTCCAGGCCACATGTAGCCTAGACCAAAGAGGATACCTGGGCTTAAGATTTAGTTATTAGGAACCTTAGAGAGGGCATCTGGTTGTCTCCCGCCTGCCCCCCCCTACATTTTACAGATGGGCAAACTGAGGCCCAGAGAGGACAGGTAAGACCTCTGAGGTCCCTTCCAATCCTTGAGATTCTCAGATACGCCAGAGGCTTAATGAACAGAGAAGGCATGGCAGCCCATATGCTATAAGGAAGGTGTGTGAGGCTGTACCCAAGATGCATTGCTCAGTGACTTCCACTTTCCTGGACAGGTGGGGGGACCCAAGGACACACTTTTAAGTTTAACCTGTGTGATTGATATTTTCTTCATCACTTTCTTAAGTCAAGACAATCTAGACGACAATAAATCAAGCTTGGATTTGTAGCATTGGCAGATTTTTGAAGGGTAGATGCTTACATTGAAAATTCAATAGTCGACTATTGAGAGCCGGTATGAGCTGGCTCCAGCACAGCCAGGGGATCTGTGGGTCAGTGTAGGGGTCAGTCCTAGTGTAGTTTGCCATCTTTGTCATTGGTCTGAATGAAGAGACTACTTAGCTTGCTGCTCAGTCTTTTATGGCTGAGTCACCTATTAGCAGATCTTGGGAGAATAATACTATAAAGATAACAATTGGCACTGACATAGCATTTACTCTGTGCTAAGCAGTTTTACAAATATCTCATTGGATTCTCACAACAATCTTAGGAGGTAGGGGCTATTAGCATCCCCATTTTACAGATGAGGAAACCGAGGCAGGCAGGTTAAGTGACTTTCCCAGAGTCACATAGCCGGTAAGTCAGGTGGGATTTGAACTCAGGTTTTCCTAGGCCCCCAAACTCTATCCACTGAGCCATCGTGCTGCCTTTTTATAAATGAAGCTAAACGGGTCATGGAGAACAGAGGTTGGGGGAGGGGGGTGATGATTGCAAAGGACCAAGTCAAATGGAAACAAAAGATGAGAGGAGTCAGGTCCTCCTTTCATTCCAAGTGCACAGAAAAAGAACATACCTCCCATGGCGGCCTCTTCTTGCCCCTCCCCTTGGAAGCCTTATTGGCGTGTGCAGGTGACCTGGGCTGGTGAAGGCTGTGTCAGTGGAATGGGGTGGCAGGACCAGCCTGCCTCGTCAGAACGCTGATCCTGGGGGATGGGGAGAGGAATTTTTTTGGACATAGCAGCTCAAAAGAGTCATAGGCATCAGTGGAGGGAATTGGCCCACTGACAGACCCTGGAGCCTTGAAATAAAGTAGTTAGGCTAGGTGGCCCAGTGGATAGAGCACTGGACCTGGAGTCAGGAAGACACGAGTAATCCTGTACTTCCTAGCTATGTGACCCTGGCAAGTCACTTAACTGCTGTCTGCCTCAGTTTCCTCATCTGTAAAATGGGGATGATAACAGCCCCTACCTCCCAGGGTGGCTGTGAAGCTCAAATGAGATATTCGTAAAGTGTTTTACAAACCTTAAGGCACTATGTAAATGCTAGCTATTATTATTTGCAAAAAATTGCCATCATTGGAGGTGGAGGAAAGAAGTGTATTAGGATCACAGGTTTATCAAGCTAAAGCTGAAAGGGACCTTAGAGACCCCTCATTTTACAGATGAGACAGCTGAGGCCCAGAGAGGCTGAAGATCATCTATTGATTTAGAGCTGGAAGGGACCTTAGAGGCCATCTGGTCTGAGAACCGAGGCTGGGAGAGACTCCCAAGACTTGTCCAAGGACGCAGAGGTCATCGTTGCCAGGAGCAGGATTTGAATCCGAATCTTCTGATTTCAGAGCCAGTGTTCTTTTTCCTGGACCATGCTGTGTCCTTAATGGTGCAGTGACTCATTCAAATGCTGAAGGGGCCCTGCTGCTCTGGGAGACCCGCCAGGAGTTAGAAAAGCGACTTCTCTCCTGGGACTGGCATTTCCCCCACCAAAGCCTTCCGTACGGGGGGCTCACTGGAATGGAGGGCTGGGGGCAACCTGGACTGGCAGTGTGGATCCTGTGCCAGGTTCTCCAAATGGGGACACACTTAGATGATGTGGATCGGGGATGCACCATGCCCACTCTGAGGGATGGCTTAAGGAACTTTGGAGAAGCTCAGTAGCAGAAAGTCCATGGGATCACAGATATTGAACTGGGAGGACCTCAGGCCAGCTAGGCCAGCTAGCCCAGCCCCCTCATCTTTCAGGCGGTAGCTAAGTGGTGCCGTGGATGTAGTGTGGACTTAGAGTCAGGAAGACCTGAGTTTGAATTCTGCCTCTGATACTTCCTAGCTGTGTGACCCTGAGCAAATTATTTAACCTCTGTCTGCCTCAGTTTCCTCATCTGTAAAATGCTGGTAATAATGGCCACTTAACTCACTGTGTTGTGACAACCAAATGAGATAATACTTGTAAAATGATTTGCAAAATCATTTTAAAATGCCAGGTAAATACTAGTTCTTATTTTTTTTTCTTTTCAACCTTTTAAAAGTAATTAACAAATATTCCTCCCCTTCTCCCCATTGAAGAAAAGAAAGGTAAAACCTTGTAACAAATCTGTGTAATCAAATAAAAGAAATTCCTGCATTGGCCACGTCCACAAATGTTATGTTTCATTCTGGATCTTGAATACATCACTTCAGGAGATGGGTTGGAAATTAATATAGATGAGGAAACTGAGGCCCAGGGCATTTTAAATAACCAGCCCAAGGTCACTGTTAATCACTTATTTTTTTTTTATTAAAAAAAAAAAAGCCACAGCAATTCATGAAACCTACCAGAGGTGGAAGTAACAGGTAGGCCCAGAGCAGTGAAATCATGGCTCTGCTGAGGTGTCTTTGGTCAGTGAACTGTGTCCCCTTGGGTTCTCCACAGCTTAAAGAATGAGGAATTAGAATAGAGCAGTAAAGGTGGTGGAAGGGATGGGGAGGTCCAGGAGGTTAGGCCACTTTTCAGCTAGTAAACAGCAGTGTCAGGATTTGAACTCAGAGCCTCTGGTCCCCAAAACAGCCCACTTTGTACCACTCCATCAGATCATGCTTCCTTACCTGGATGGTGAGGAATGGGCAGAAGCCAAGGAAAACCTCCAGGCTCTAGCTACTTCCCCAGCCCTCCCTAGTGCAGGCTAAGCAAAATAGGATTGATAACCACCTGCTTGGGGGCATTGACGCACAGTCTTCTGGATGGGCCAGCTGACCCCTATGGTTTCTTGCCAGGACTGGGGTTCAAGGCAGGGCCTTCACATCCTCTCCTGCTACCGATTTGGCTCGAGCAGCCATCACATGAATTCAGTGATTTCCACTCTCTTGCTTCCTTTTCCAGGCATCATTCACGCTCGAGGATTAGTCCGGGAATGCCTGGCAGAGACTGAACGAAATGCAAGATCCTAGCCTCCCGCTTCACTTCAAAAGTTTTCCATTTCTTTGTGAAGAAGAAAGAATAACACTTACTCCTCTGGTGACTTTCAAAACATTCGTATGAATCCCTTCTTTTTAAAAGTTTGGATTCTTTCCCTTTTTCTTCCTCCCATCCCCACCACAGTCTGTAAGAATAGAAGAAAAGGCAATTTTGCAGTTAAGAGTTGCGTTTTAAGTAAGTTAGGAACAACCTAGGTCACTTTTTTTTTTTTTAAGCATTGAGTCCAGAAACTGCATGTAGAAAGTTCTGCTTATGTTGCTGCCGACTGTAGTTTACTGCCCTGCTAACCTGCCCCAATCTTTGATTTTCTTCCTTTGAGTCCACTTAAAACCACCCAAATTGTCATTCTTTTGCACCTTTTCCAGAATCTCCAATAACTCTTAAGGATTTTTTCATGAGTCAGTGCTGACTGCATGTTCTCCCTGGCAGTTGGGCATCTCCCAGTTAGGGCTACGTGATAGAGACCCTGCTTTAAAAAATAACATGGGTTTTTTTCGTGTTTTGTTTTTGGTGTGTGAGCATTTGCATGATTGTTCGTGCTTTGAAGTCAATTTAAAATGCATGAGTTATAAATACAGAGGACTGAGCAGCCTACTAAAAAAATTAAGAACCCAGATAGTTACTTTTCAGATGAAGACTATAGATTTCAAGTCTTGAGTTTGCCATAGAATGATTAAAAAAAAAAAATCTGGATAAATGACTAAAACTGTTACGTGCATCTTTGTATGTATTTATTACTTGATGTAATAAAGCTTATTTTCATTAACAATTTGTATCAAAATATATGTAAGTTTGCTTTCATTTTGGAGATGCTGGACAAAATGGGGTTAGGGTTGCCAGGGAAGCAGGGTCAGAGTCAAGGGGTCAGGACTCATTTGAACTAGGGTCACTGAGGAATGTGCTGACTGATGTAGCTTCAAAGCCTTTTGGGTAGGGGTAGAAACGGACAACAGGCTTCTAGTGAGAGAGTGATCTGAATGTTGATTTGCATCAGTTAAAAATGAGATGGGGTCAGTTTGATAGAAAGGAGAGTAGGGGAAGATGCACCATCTCCTAACTTGATTACGTTGGTTTCCCAAATAGCAGTAGGGTTGGACCTCTTGAGTGGGCTTTCTCAGCTCCTTTCTACAGGGCTGGGGAGGGGGTCACATATACTGAAAAGCTTGGGCAGGGGCAGAATGGAGAAGCAGTTCTAACATCCCTCATTGACAGGTGGCAAGTTTTGAAAATTTCACTGATTTTGTTTTGACACATGGTACAAACCCACCAAACTCAAGCTAATTCTGAAAAGTTAAAAGGGCCTAAGAGCCATGCCAACCAATGCTATGTCAACCTGGTACTTTAGGAGACAAGTCATAAATCAGTACCCACAACGCCCGTTTTTGATGCACCCTGGATTTTCAAGTCTGGGAGGGGACTTGGCAGGAATGTTTAGTTCAACTCATCTCCATGTCTTGTGCTGTTCAGAGTGTCCATTTCCTGGGTTGCTGTCTGGCATTCTTTTGGGTTTCTTTCCCCCCTTCCTCACTTCACATAAGTATTTCCACATTCTTCATATCTGTTGTTCCTTATGGCACGGATAATATTCTGTTATACTCAGATACCATGATTTGTCTGGTCATTCCCCCATTGTGAAGCACATTTTGATTCCAACTTTTTGCCGTTACAAATAGCGCTGCTGTGAATATTTTTGTACACATGGTTTTTCCCTGACTGTCTGTAGCTTCCTTGGGAGTATTCATTCAGTAGTGGGACTGCTGGGTTACAAGGTGGTAGGAACAATTTTGTAAAAATTTCTTGCATAATTCCAAATTGTTTTTCAAAATGGTTGGACCAAATCACAGCCCCACCCACTGTGAGTTGTTGTGCCTTGTTTCCCACAACCCTGCCAACAGTGAATTTTTCCTTTTTTTTTTTTTTTTTTTTTTGGTTGGGCAGTGGGTGTTAAGTGACTTGCCCAGGGTCACACAGCTGGTAAATGTTATGTGTCTGAGGCTGGATTTGAACTCAGGTCCTCCTGACTCCAGGGCCAGTACTCTATCCACTGCGCCACCTAGCTGCCCCATATTGGTTTATGACCAATATTTTTGGGGGGGAGGGGTTAGGCAGTGGGGTTAAGTGGCTTGCCCAGGTCACACAGCTAGTAAGTGTTATGTGTCTGAGGCTGGATTTGAACTCAGATCCTGACTCCAAAGCCAGAGCTCTATCCACTGCGCCACCTAGCTGCCCCAAATTTTTCCTTCTTTTACTATCTTTGATGATTTAGGTATGAGATGATGAAGTGGTGAGTCTTAAAAAAAATTAAGTTTAGTTGTTACAGGAAGAAATCAATTATGGTATGAACTCTGAAAGTTGTAATAAGTGATTATTCAAAATATTATTTTGACCCTAACCCCAAAAAAGACAGAACATTTCCACATACAAAGCAGAACAGAGAGGACAGATTGAGTGAAACACGACTCTAATAAGTTGTTGAATTGAATTGATTTTGGTTAGAGACCTAAACTTAACATCCAGTAAATGACTCATCTCAGCAGGGGGGAGCTGCTTGGTCTGCTGATTAAAGTAACAGATTAAATAAAACCAACCTTTGTGTTATTATTGTCCCACAGATGTCATTCTCTGGACAAAAATATTCTCTCCTTCTCCCTCTCCCTTTGTGCATTAATCTCAAGCGTGTGCTCACAAGCCAAGCCGCTAACCTTGCCTAAAACAGAATGATGAGGTGAACACCTCCCTTACTGGATGATCCATGTGGAGAGAGGGGCGGATGCAGAGCTTGGCTGTGAACACATGGGGTCCCCGGGCCACACCTGAATACGCGTGGATTGAGTGGGCAGCTCCACACCTTTGGGCATCAGAAAAGGTCCTTGGCAAGCTGGGACGCTTTCCCATCCTGCTCGTCCTTCACTAGCTGAGGGAGTAAGCAAGTGGGCAAGTGACACGTTAGCTTTCCAAATCTCTCCTTAGCTTTTCTCCACCTCGTTCTCATAACCTGGCACAGAGGTAACTGGGGACTTCCCCACCTCCCAGAGACAACTTTTCCCAGCTTGCGATGAGGGACCACTGACCATCACCAACATGCGGCCCCTGCACCTGGCTCAGAACAAAGCGGGGCTCGGGAGTTTGTCCACAAATGTTTATTGGAAGCCGCTAGGCGGGTGCTGGCAGAGGAAGCAGCCATTGCGCCGTGTCAGTGACCAGCGGCATCCCGCCTCCCGCGATGCTGGGGCCTCGGTTCCTTTAACATTAACTCTTTGAACAGTCTCTTCTTCTCCAGGGTCTCCTTTGCTTTTTTTTTCCTTTCTCTCTTCTTTTTCTCTGCCTCCTTTTTGGCCTTGTGAATGTGACTGTCTTCTCCTCTGTAGAAGAGATCTACCTTCCCTTGCAGAATCTCTCTTGCCAGCTTACGGTTTTGATCGACCGATCTTGTCTGGTGGCACTGGGAAAACATAACGGCATTTTGTTAAGCAGTTGTGGCATGGCCCTCAGAGACAAGGGTCTGTACACTTCATTGGCCCTGAGCTTGTCTTACACAGGAGAGACCAAGGCCCAGAGAGGGCCCTGGCTTGCCCAGCGGTCTACACTGAGATGGGGCCAGAGCGGGCACTGGAGCTTGGAGCTCTGGCCGGCCTGTCACAGAATCTGGTGAACTTCTTAACTCAACTGGCTGAGTCAGTTTAGGGGCTGAGATTAGCTTGGGCTCTCCATCTGCCCTCCTGACAGATCCAGTCACTTGGAGAGTTTGGCCTGACTGAGCACACAAATGCAGGTGTGAAGGACCGAGCCAAGCAAAAGGCCTCCCCATCCGCCATGAGTCGGCTCTGGGCAGTCACTGCTTGCTGGACAGTGGCCAAGCACAAGGGATGTAGCCTGAGTTTAATGGTGAAGGGCCTCTGTTGTTGGGGGCTCACTTGTCTTACTTCGCAGCCCCTCACATGGAATGTGCTGCAGCGCCCTCTAGTGGCAGATGGCCTGGAACGCCCTGGTTGGAGCACAGCCCTCAAGCCAAGGAATGGATCCCTGAAGGGCCGGTCCGATCCATCAATAGTGGGCTTCAGGGCACAGGCATCTCCCACAAGAACAGGAAGACGGCCTTGCCTCATCTGACAGGCTCACAGGTCACTTTTTAAGGCGTAGTTCTGGCCAGGCAGGTTCTGGGGCAGAGGAGGGTTAGACGACGCCCCCCCATCCCTTACCTTGACCACGATGCCAGACGGGACGTGCTTCAGCACCACACAATTGTTGGTTTTGTTGGTGGCTTGGCCGCCAGGACCGTGGCCTCTCACAAACTGCTCTTCCAAGTCGGTTTCGTTCAGAGGAAGGAGGATGTGGGAGTCTGTCTTGCCTGCCACCTGGGGCCCAAAAGCTCCTGTCCTGGGGAATAAAAATGAAGGCTTCTTCCATGGCCAGAGCCTCCACAACCCTGTGCTGAAGCTGCCCAGTGAGACTGGAAGGTGAGTGAAGGCCCAAGTGTTCATAAGGGAGTCTGTGAGAAAAATGAGAAGAGTGGGACCACATGTGACTTGCAAAAGACAAACACACCCCACTACGGAAACCTCGGGCTCACAGTAATGGGGATCCTGAGCTTATAAACAGATGACATTTCTCTCTTCTTAAATTAAAAAATTAAAGCTTTGTTAGAAATTTAACAATAACAGCCAGCAGCGTTTACGTAGGACTTTTAAAGTATTCAAAAACACTTTGCACAGGCTATCACGTTTCATCTTCACAACAGTGTTAAGTAGGGGGCTAGTATTTCCATTCTAAAGATAAGGAAACTGAGGTTGAAGTGATTGAGGAAGGATTTGAACTCAGTTTTTCCTGACTTTAAGTCCTGTGAGATAGCCACTCTACTACCAAGCTTATACATGATCGACATGAACAAGTATACTTGCTTGATAAGGACATTTACATTTCTTTAAAAAGATTTTTTTTTGAAATCTGTTGTTTTTACTTCACCTTCATTTCCAAATATTTCTTTTCCCTCCCCAGAGGTCACTGCTTGTAACAAAGAACAGAAAAGTGAGAAAAGAGGGGAGGAGAGCAGTTCAACCAAAGCAATAATCAGATGAGTTCTGACAATAAGCATATGCACTGTTCTACCCCCAGGACATGGAGTCAGTAAATGTCTGAGGCCAGGAGGACTTCCTCCCCGACCACCGATACTTCCTAACTCCAAGTCTCTATACAGGACCATTTGGCTTCCCTTTTTGTTTTCAAAAAAAGAAGCACCAATTCCTTCTGAGGGTGATATGGGATAGGAAGACCTGAGTTCAAATAGGACCTCAGACACTTCCTAGCTTGGATAATTCACTTAACCTTGTTTGTCTCAGTTTCCTCATCTGCAAAATAGGCTGGAGAAGGAAGAAACCATTCCAGTATGAGTCAGACATGATTGAAAATGACTAAGAAACTACAACAGAGTGCCAGGAATTGTGCTAGGCACTGGGGATACAAAGAAAGGCCAAAAAAAAAAAGTCTCTGTGTTCAGGGCCAGTCTCAAGGGGAAGACATATGCATACAAATAATTGGGCACAGTCTCAGAGGGACTGTGACAGTCTTGTCTGGTTTGAGGATATGCATAGCGTGTCTCTTTTAAGGAAAAGTCAGGAGGCCAGAGTCACTGGATGGAAGATTATGTGCTGGGGAGGAAGGTGTAAGAAGACTGGAAAGGTAGAAAGGGGTTGGGTTATGAAGGGCTTTGAACATTAAACAGAACATTTTGTATTTGATCTTGATGGTGGTAGGGAGCCACTGGAGATTATTGAGGGAGAGAGGGGGGATCATCAGACCTGTGCTTTAGGACAAATTGGAGTGGGAGTAGACTTGAGGCAGGGAGATCACCCAGGAGGCTTCTGCAGTAGCCCAGGCATGAAGTGATGAAGGCTTGCACCAGGGTAGATGCAGTGTCAGAGACAAAGAGGAATATCCAATTTGTTGGGGAGACTCAACAACTCAGCAATGGGGGGGTAAGACCGCCTGCACAACTGGGAGGATGGTGGGGAAGTTAGGTCAGCATTTTCCCAAAGTCTGTGAGGAAACCTGTAGCGTATGTGTCAACAGGCAGCAGAGGGTGAGGATGTCACATAGGTCTAAGAAGATACTGAGAAGAACATCCAAATTAAATCAAGAAAACCTTTTAGATTGATGGACTTTTTAGGCTTTCTTGAAATGGAAATTTATTGCCATATATTCTGAATCCTCTCAAGTTCTGCTGTGCACCTGGCAATGCATTATTTTTCTTTTCTTATTTTGTATTTAAGTTTTAATATTTAAGTTTATAATATATTTATTTTTCTTTTCTTATTGTGTATTTAAGTTTTTGTATTAAAGTTTAAAATAAATTTTAAAAAGAAAAAAGAGTTAGTGACTTTGGTGCAAAGGTGGGCATAGACAGGGGAAGGTAGAAACCTACATAAATACTATGCAAGCTTTATAATATTACAGGAAGATTAGCTACTATTACAAGGATCATCTGAACTTAGGATCATAGAATCAGAGCTAGAAGAGACCTCTGAGGTCATCTGGTCCAGTCCTCTCCTTTTACAGATGAGGACTCTGGGATCCAGGGAAGCAAGGGTGAGAAGCAAGAAACAAAAGAGGCCAAAGGCTTGTGGACTTTGAAGCCTTGCACCTGTACTCATGAATGTTTTTCCTTAAGAGCTGAGAGGGCCTGGACCAAGTAACACCACAAAAATGGAATGGGTTATTTTAACAAGAAACAATTGGTGGCTGAAATGGGAAACATCAGGCTTTGTACAGTCAGATTATTGACTTCAGCTACGATCAAGATCAGTATCTAATTAGAACAGAACATGGACGTAGGGGAGTAGTTAAGACAACTCTGACCTTAACCATGAAACAAAACATTGATGCCAAAATCTGGGAAGTGGATAAAAGAACAGACATCAAATTAATTTTCCTACCATTTCCTAAGCAGTTTTACTGATAAATGAGTTATCATGCTGAGGAGACCATGAGAGCCTGGACACCATTTCATCTGGCAAAGATGATCTCCTGACAAGCAAAGAGACACGCTAGCCAACATCAACTCCACTTCAAATATAACAAGTCTGTAAAATCCTAGGGAGGATGATCGTAGAAGATTATGAAAAGTATAATTTCACAAAACACTGAGTACAATGCAGAGAATAACATGGCAACAGAAAGTGAGTCAGTTAATTCAGATCATCCTGTAGCCATTTATGGGTGAAAATGGAAGGAGCACAACAGAAAAAAATGGAAAACATCTGTGGATTTCTATAATGCATTCTCTTTACCAATGTCAGTGAAGCCACCCATCTTTTGGACTACAAAGCATCACGGTGCCTTACTGCTGCAAGCAGAAGTGGAAACAGTACTACAGAAATCAAAGATGGGCAGATTACTTGAACTGAAATAAATCTGCAGACAGGAGGTCTGTTCTGGACATGACAGTTTTGAGGATGTTGAAGGATCAATTCTCGAGAATTCTGAAAGGTTCAAAATACTTGGATAAAGATTACAGACCCTATCATTACACTAGTGTCTGTGGTCAGATTTGAACTAAGATCTTCCTGATTCCAGGCCTGGTGCTCTCTCCACTGCACCACCTAGCTGCCGCATAGCATCACCATGGTCATTAGAAGCACAATTTCCCAAAGAAGGGATGGCCATAATTACCCATCTATATGGCTACTTTACCATCTCTACACAAAATCCTTATTAGAATAATATACATGTCCACCAAGGGCATCCTTGATGAAGGTATAAGAAGGGAACAGGCAGGCTTTCACAAATGACGTTCTATAGCAATCACACCTTTAGAATCACACAATTGACTCAAAGGTGTAAAGAACACAAGATTCTATTGTACTCCTTTGTTATCTATAGAAAATGGAATAAAACATCACTTGAAAGGCTCACCCCCCAATATGTCTCCTATTCATATGTTAAAATTATATAAGAGGTAACAGAGGTGACTTTAAGGACCCTGTGATCACTAATATCAAATATGTGTAAAGCAGGGAGATGTTTGCCACTGTCATGAATGATGTCCAGCAGAGTCCAAAGGTAAAGATCCCCCTAGAGAAGGTGAGGTCTTCTAAAAACTCTTGTTTTGAGGATGATATTGTGCTCATATTATCAAACTTCAGAACACTGTAGTGTCTCCTAAATGAGATACTTAATCACTCAAAAGTTTTTTCTTACTATCCATATAAAAACCCAAGTGGATGAAGAATGCCTATTACTCAAACTAGGATATATAGTTAGACATGACAACCTACAAAGCTAGTGTGTGTGTGTGTGTGTGTGTGTGTGTGTTGGATAGATTCTCCTAATGGTAAGGACCCATCTGAAAGTGGCCCAGAATTAAATATAATAAGCTGAGGTTTCTTTGGGAAATTGTGCTTCTAATGACCATGATGCTGCTATGGGGTCCGACACACTGAAGTAGCAAAATGGTGGAGAAGGTACCTCTGTACCTTCTGTAGAATATCTTGGACCTGCTCATCTGACACCCCCAGAATGGACTTGTTCTCAAAATCTATAATCCCCCTGGTATTACTAGGAAGACTTTCTGTATATGAAGAAAATAGGCTGTTCCCAAGGGCCTTCTTTGTGAAATATAATGGGATAATTGTAGGTAGTAGGGAGCCTCTCTGTACCAGGCCCAGCTCACCATCCAAATTTTCAAATACAAGTAGTAAATGATTTCCCTCAATGTCGTAGATTGTGTCCCACTATTTTGCAAATGTGTTTTAAATGTGACTTCAAGCTGCTAACTAATAGCTCTTTAGAATGGGGTGGGGGTTAGGTATGGTGGTGACTCATGTAGAATTATACTGGATTATACTGAAAGGATTGAAAGGCAGCCTGGAGCAATGGGAAGGGTACTAGATTTGGAGTCAGAAAATCTGGGTTCAAATCCTGACTCTTTCACTTACTATCTGTGATCCTGACTCACTTAACCTCTCTGGGCCTCAGTTTCCTCTTCTGTAAAATGAGAAGTTGGACTCAATGACCTGTAAGGCCCTAAATCTGATTTCCTTACACACAACAGAGATACTTGTGATGGTTAATGTCATTTCAATTCCTTCTTGAGGACACAGCTTTCCCAGAAATGGCCAAATGCAGACAGGCATCAATTACAAAGATAACCTGAATGCTTCTGGTGAAATTGAGAAGGGTAGTGATTGTAAAAGCAGACTGGTGAGATGTCCCCCAAATACTCTAAGTACAACTAAGATCCCCTGCTTGGATTAAAAATTAAAAGCAGGTAATAGTTAGTTCATGGGGTCTAACTACCCACACTGAAAAAAAAAGTCCACAAACCAGGTATAAGCCTGATTATGAAAGTGCACAGTGGGTACAAAGGTGGCCACGGGGTCAGGAAAACCTAGGCTCAATCTCTAGCTCTGACATATACATGTATAAACAAAGGCAAGTATTCTCCCAAGCCCAAGCAACCTCCTTAGTCTGAATGGCACAAAAGAGTTGCTGATCTGAATTGAGAGGAAGTTCCATCCCAAGAATTCTCTTTACTGATGAAAACACATCCAGACCCAAAAGTGACATGGTCCTTTGGTCAGTCAGTAAGTCTTTCCATTTGCATTCCTTAGGCAGGTGCTGCAGGTGGACAGTGAGCTGGGCCTGGTACAAAGAGGGGGAGCACAGAGGGCAGTACTGCAGTGCAATGCTTTTAAGGGTCAGACTATTTCTGCTGCTGCAAAAGCACATCTCCATGATGCTTTTTATCTCAGAAGCATCACTCTTGCAGGTGACTCCAAGATACCAAAAATGTATGGTAGTTGTAAGCAGACTGCAGCATATTACCAACAATCCGAATCCTTGGTTTCCTTCAAAACTCCCTAAGTGCCAGCTTTTACAATAAGCCTTTCCTGATCCCAACTGCTAGTGACCTCTCCCCAGATTGTCTTGCACTTTGCATATATTTATATGTATTTGCCTACTGGCTCACCTAATGAAAGTAAACTTCCTGAGGGCAGGAATTGTTTCACTGGTCTTTGTATCCCCAGACACCCTGCAGGAGGCCTGGCAGGCACATACTCATCCCTTCGACAGGAGTATTTGCAGAAGCTGCCTGTGTGTCTCCTTGCCATAAATCTCCCCCCTACTCAGTCCATCCTCCATTATGCTGCCCAAATGATTTTCGTAAAATGCAGGAAATTCTGACCATGTTCCCCCCAGTCTATAAACTCTACTGGCTCCCTATTACTTTCAGGATCAAATATAAAGCCCTATTTGGCTTTCAAAGCTCTTCACATCCTGGTCCCTCTTTCGCTTTCAATTGTTTATACCCCTGCCCAGTCTTCCGATCCAATGGCGTCTAGCCATTAGCCAGCCTTCTGGCTGGTCCTTGCACCAGATACTCCATCGAGGTACCAATGCTGTGGCTTTTCACAAGCCTGGAAGGTCCGCCCTCCTGACCTCCACCTCCTGGCTTGCTTCAAGAATCAGCTTAAACCCTACTCTTGGCGAGAGGATTTTCCTACTCTGCTTCTTCCTCTGAGCCCTCCTGCCTTTGCCCTGGGATCACCTCCCATTCACACCATGTCTGTTTTTTCTGCATGTAGTTGCTTGCATGTCACATCCCTCATGACAATGTGAGCTCCTGGAGGGACAGGGGGCTGGGTTTTGGTCTTTCTTTGTATCTCCAGTGTTTTTGCACAGTGCTCAGCCCACAAGTGTCTGGTGATGAACTGAACTTAAAAGCATACAGATCCATTTAAAAAAACTTTTTTTGAAATATATTTGACATATTTATAACTTGTTCTTCAGTATGAAAACATAAGTTAATTATTTTAATAATAAATGTATTTGATTACACTTACTGGTATAAATTAGAAATTGCTCTGAAGACATCAATAAATACTTGGTGATTGACTCAACAATGATTTGCAGCCGAGTACAAAACATCAACAACGTGGTTGGCCATCGTATGTCAAAAGTGAGGGATAAAATTCATCCCCCCCTAAAAAAAAGGATAGATCCATTTGTAGCGGAACCAATGGTGGGAGTGGTTCCGCTACAAATGGATCTACCCTTTTTTTTAGGGGGGATGAATTAATTAAATTTATCTCCTTTGTGTCCAGTGCTGGGAAGGAAGGAAAAAGAAGAAACATGAAGGAATGCATTCATTGCTTCCTTGGTAAATATACAGATTCTAAAGTTTGCTAGACATTTGCTTATTTATGGCGTTCTAATGCCTCTTTTGAATGAGTAAAGTGCAGGACTTCTACTCTCCCTGTCTGCTAAATAAACATGATCGAAAATGTTACAAAGAATTTTTCAAGCATCCAGTCAACATTGCACTAAAGTCTTCCTATACCTTGTGACATGCAGGTGATCCTGGCTTCTCAAAAAGGCAGGACGGTATATTGGATAGAATGCTGGATTTGGGAGTCTGGAAGCCCTAGGTTCAATTCCTGCCTCTCAAAGACACTTAGCTATGTGGCCATGACAGGTCACTTTACCTGAATCTCAATTTCCTCACCTGTAAAATGGGGATGATACACATAGTACCTATACTCTCACAGGATTGTTGTGAGACTAAATAAGAGACCTGTAAAGCTTTTCACAAACTCTAAAGTGCTATGGAAATGTCAGTAATGAAGATGATGATGATGTTATGCCAGCAGGGCACAAACTCTGGCAGGTTCTACCAAACTGCAAAGGTGCCAAGTACAGGCCTGGTAATAGGTGCTGTCTATCATCTAAGGACCAACCAACCAGCCTACCAAATTTCAGACTTAGCATTTTGGTCAAAGCAAGCAATGAAAACCATCAACCAGGTCATGGAAGAGTTGTGCCTTCATTGATGGAATTAGTTCTTGTAATGATAAAACCATGGAGGTTTTGAATATTTTAAGTGCCAATGCTGCTACTGAATGGAAAAGGAGGTGGGCCAGCTGATAACAGCTCAATAGCCCAAGCACTGTGCTGGGATCCAGGTGATATTAAAGAATCAAGGGGAAGACCTCCAGCATGTTGGGTTGATTCTCTGTGGATGGCTTATGGACAGTCTTCAATAATAATCACACAGGACAGGGGGATAAGGCTGGGCTGCAATCTGCACTGGGGAGGGAGTCCCTGCATTGATTACGTAACATATCCAAAGCATAGAGATATACCAAAGCTATTATCATTTTGTGTGGCTATTATAATGGTCTGAACCTGTTCCTTTTCAGTTGGGCTGGCCCCATGGGATGCTAATTAGGGCATTCGAGGAAGTAATTCCATGCCTCTGAGAAGACCTTTGAGGCAAAGGATAGTCCAACTACAGCCAAATGAAAACGAAGATGACTCACTAAATTGACTGAGGCTTTTCATGAGCTGGTAAGCTAAATGAAAAACTGACATCATGATGCCCTGGATCAAGCAGCCAGTGTGGGTAGTATCAGCACTGCCATTTTCTTGTAACTTCCACAAGAAACAACACTGTCCACTATAAACACATAAAGATGTAGATTAGATTGGGTTCTCTCATGTTAGAAGAATGCTGGACAACTCCCCCCCTCCTAACCTGGGCTGTGCCCCCCCACCAACTCCCCATCCCCAGCTTATTTTGTACTATCTTCTCCAAATATTCCTTGTGGAACAAGGTTTCTTTGTGAAAAATGCTTGTCTCTGATTGAGGCCGGGTGTGGAACACAGGGCTATTGATTTTTCTGCAGCTTCTCTTCCGCCCCCTTAGCAAATATGAGCAGGCAGGACAGTGAAGAGTCTAGGGCACTAACAAAGAGGGGAAACAACTCTGAGACAAGGCTGTGAACCTACCAGACAAAGGAGGGAGCCCAGAGCGCTTTTATCAGTTGCCCACTGTGTTTCTTCTTCAAGCCTCCACCTTTTTGTCCTGGTTCAGTGCTTTCAGATGCCCTGGAAAGACTCCCACCCAACTGGAGTTCAACAAGGTCCCCAGTGTTCACTGACTGGTTGCTCTGTTTGGCAGCTAATTCTAGTAGCCAATCAGACTCTTCTAGGTACTCCCAGCATCTTCTGGAGCTCTGGCCTCACTCCAAAGGCTGCTAAAAATGACCAACACGCCCATGGTTCCACTTCCCCAAGCCTAAATGAAGAATCCTGATTGGATCTTGGTTTTTGTGACACTCACAGAGGGAGCTCAGAGTCTTTAGGGAACAATAAAAGCAGCTCAAATTTTTGTTCCTAGTGACATTTAAAAGGGAAAAAAGGAAAAATAAAAAAGCTCCAGTAAGAGGAAACCAATACCCATGGCAGCTCTGACCCATTTCCTACCTTCTGTGTGGTAGATTTTTAGTAGAGAGCTGGTTCTCTACCTGAATTTTCTCTTGACAACCCCCTCCCCCAATCCATGAATACTTCCACACAAAACAGCTGACTTCAGTCCAGGCTTAAGCATCTCATATTTGGTCATCTTTTTTTTCATAAAGTCTGACAGATTTTGCCTCTTTTTACCTTGACTGGGCCTTTAACAATTCTGGATCTATGATAAAGAATGTTAGTTTTATTTCTCATATTTGCAGGTTGAAACTGAACCATTTGGTATACTTATATGCTAGGCTGCTTGGAAAAAAATGAAAGCAGGACCTCAGTATGACATTATTCACCACAGAACTGCTATTTGTTAGGGGAGAAGCTTATCTTGAACAGTAACCAAGGATTAAAATGATGTCAGTAGTTTAGAACTGTGGTGCACGAGTAAGACCAGATATTTGAACTGGTGATGGAATCCACTGCCTTTAAACCTTGGGTTAGGGACACAGGTAAACAGTGTCTTCCATTTTGTTGCAGTGTTTCTGAAAGGGAGAAAGCTACACAGGGTTGGAAGATTCTAGTCTCTGAGCTCCTTATTACTCTAGAGACAAAGCCAAACTACTCTGTTAGGTATTTAAAGCTCTTTATAAGCTTGCTCCAATCTATCTTTCCAGCCTCATTATACAATGCCACCATTCATGCAGTCTTATGTCAGCCGAATTGGTGCTTCCTCAAACAAGCCACTCATTTCCTGGTTCCTGGGCTTTGCACAGGCTGTATCCCCTGATTGAAATGCATTCCTCATTTGTCTTTCAGATTGCTAGTTGTCTTCAAAGCTTACTTCAAGCTCTATCTTCTACCTGAGGCCCTTCCTGATCCACCATTACTAAGACCTCCCCCGCAAAATTCCCTTGCATTTATTTTGCACCAGAGAGGCAATGCTGCCTAGCGCACAGAGACCTGACCTCAAAGACCTGATTCAAGCTCTGCTCTGACACACCCTGTCTGGGGGACCACTCTCACCTGCTTCTAGGTAACTCTTGAAGACTGTCAGTATCAGAGAAGGTGCCTACCCACCAACACTGGTAGTAGAAGTGAGTTACCTAGGGTCCACAGCCAGAAGCTGATTAAATGTAATTGGGAAATGTTTGACAAAATAAGTAGAAATACAGTAACAAAATAGATAAAAATACAAAAATATAACCAACACAGAGAATGTTAATTCATAGTTTTCTAAGTCAATATTCCCTTGGGGTTTGACACTACTGACCTAGATCAATCAAATTACAGGTGTAGTCCCTATCCCCTATCCCATATATAGTTATATGCACAATACCAGGTAAAGGTGGTTTGATTTTTGTTTCCCCAGGAACTAGTATTGTGCTTGACAAATAGTAGTAGGTGCTTAATAAATGCTTGTTGAGTAAGCCTCCCTTTTGTACATATTTCATTACCATCAAAGTCATTTTAGAAAGGTAAAACATCTTTTCTTTTAACTTCAACTTTTTATAAAAACGTCCCACCTTTGTAGAAAGGAACTCATCCAGAGCAGGGAGGATGGGCATCTTTATTAAAATCAAGTGTGTCTCAGAAACAGTGTCTTCCTCATGGGAACAGGACTAGAACTGTGGTGTCACTGACACATAGAACTGCAGGGGGAAGGCAGGTCAGTATCCTCTCTGCAACACAGAGGCTTAGAGCTGCCTGCAGCACTGAGAAGATGCACCCGTAAATATATGTCAGCGATTAATCAATCAATCAATCAATAAACATTTATCAGGTGCGTACTGTGCAAAACGCTGTGCTAGATTAGGCTTGAAGCCAGGTCTTCATTTTGCATATAGTGGCCACTTAAATCTACTGACTTCAACTGCAAATAAAATGCTGAGAAAAAAGTCTTACTCAAGACATGAACACAGGATTTCATAGCTTCCTACAAGTGCCAGGTCGTTTTCCTTATGGCAGGCTCTGAGATTTACTGGGATTCTGCAGAAACTGGCACAAGTCCTTACATTACAACTCCTACGCATGTAAAATTTACAAAGCACTTTTCCCATAATAATCCTTATTCATTCATTCATTTATTTATTTATTGTGAGACAATTGGGGTTAAGTGACTTGTCCAGAGTCACACAGCTAGTGTTAATAAGTCTGAGGCCACATTTGAACTCAGATCCTCCTGACTCCAGGACCTGTGCTCTATCCACTGCGCCACCTAGTTGCCCCTTTCCATAATAATCTTAAAAGGTAAAGATGCATAAGCATGATAATCCTCATTTTCCAGATGAGGAAACTGAAGGCGCTAAGAAGTGGAGTGGTTCTCTCACAGTCTAACAGCTACTAAGTGTGGGAGCTCAGGTTTGAACCAGGGTCTTCTAACCCCAAGTCCAATAGTCCTTGGTTATTTTAACTCAAACATTCACTCAAACACAGTGCCTTGTGTCATGGCCACAAGAAATCAAAAGTACTGCTGGGGATCAAGGAAAGTTCAAAAGATTGTAATGGGATCAAATCAAGGAAGGGGTCAGTAAATGTTTGTAGGGAATAGAGAGAGAGAAAAATTGATGGAAAAAAGCCAAGACATTTATTTAAAGTTCATGCAAAATTTATGTATAACCTGTATCGAGTTGTTTGCCTTCTCAATGAGGGTGAGTGGGGAGAGAGGGAGAGAATTTGGAACCCAAAGTTTTAAAAACAAATGTTAAAAATTGTTTTTACATGCAACTGGGAAATAAGATATACAGGCAATAGGGTATAGAAATCTATCCTACCCTACAGGAAAATAGAAGGGGAAGGGGATAAGAGAGGGGGCTGGTGATAGAAGGGAGGGCAGATTAGGGGAAGGGGTATTCAGAATGCATGCAGTCTTGGGGTGGGGGAGGGGTGAGATGGGGAGAAAATTTGGAACTCAAAATCTTGTGGAAGTGAATGTTGAAAACTAAAAGTAAATAAATTAAGATTAAGGGAAAAAATAAAATAAAATAGAAAAAAAGAAAAGAAATAAAGTTCATGTAAAATTTGGTCAGGTGACAAGTGAAGATAGACAAAAATAAGGTCACCACTGCATTATTGTGCTAGACTGATTGGTTTTGACAGGAGAACTTCAATAGTTGGGTCAGGCATAGGAGTTATTTGCTCATGTTTAATAAAATCAGCATCAATGCAATGAGCAGCTTTTTTCCCATCAACTATGGCATATTTCTTAAAGTGACCATCAGAGAGAATTGCCATTGGCTGCAGCAAGTTGTTTTGCTTTTAAAAGATGTACAGTGTTTTCCAAGACATCTTTATTGAAGGGATCAGGACTACTGACCCAATACAGGGTTGGCACTGCCTCTGCTACTTCTGTTCTGAGAATGTGCAGAGCGGGGAGTCCAAGCCACATGGAACCAGATTCGTTTAAAATAGAAAATAAACGACATAAGGATCCCTGAAGGCACACACTGACTTCAAAAACCACATTAACATGATCTGTGTTTTATTATATCTTTATCTGTTTTGTTAAATTTTTCCCAACTTCATTTGAAATTGGTTCCAGGCCTGGGAGCTGTGGCTACCTGCCTGTCGGCTGCTCTGTGTCTGACACCTCTGGAGTGGAATACTGAGGCTCCAAATCTGAGAGAGGTGGAACTGGAACTCAGGTCCTGTGGGCTCCGAGGCTGGCTCTCTGCTAAACTAGGCCACGCTGCCTCTTATGCTCCAATAAGCTTTGAAAAACAACAACAAAGAAACCTAAGAAATTAATAAAGTAGAACTGAGGCAAGGCAATGTTGCAGTGTTAAGATGAAACAGAATGACGAGCTGACGGCACCAGAAGCCAGCTGATGGGAGGGAGCTGGTGATCAGGGAAATGTCCAGCACTTCAGACTTAGAGCGCCTTTTCATCACTTCCTACAAAGCTGTATTTAAAAAAGCCATCTTGACTCTTCCAGATCAAGGCAGCCCCATAAAAGAACAGTCAGACTGCAGAGATCGCTGCTGCAGCTTGCTTACAGCAGAGGCCCATCATTGTCACTGTACAACCATGCGTAGGATCCTGATTTCCAGGCTGGGAATATAGCATTTTCTCCCCAGCTTCAAGTGTCTGCAGAGAATTTTTGTTCCAAACAGGAAAAGCACAAAGGCTTAACCAGGAAATATAGAAACAGTTATTTTTAATTTAAGTAGGTAAGAGGAAATGGGATTACTGTGGCTCTGGCCTGAAATTCAGACTTCTAACTTTAGTCTTATAAGACAGAAGGAAAAAGAACAATTTTTACAAAATTCCCCTTTCTGGGGGCAGCTAGGTGGTGCAGTGGATAGAGCACTGGCCCTGGATTCAGGAAGACCTGAGTTCAAATTTAGCCTCAGACACATAACACTTACTAGCTGTGTGACCCTGGGCAGGCAAGTCACTTAACCCCATTGCCTAGCCAAAAAAAAAAAAAGAATCCCCCTCCACCACCTTCTAGAAAACATTCTGCTTTTAAAATCCAGACAGAAAGCTTAGATCTTTTTGAATTCCAAAGATGATGCAACTGTCCCATTTGAAAGCACTGGAGTGATCTTGTCCTATTTAACAGTAGCCTTGTGACATATTGACTCAAGTATAAGAACAGAACTAACTAAAGTTCGTCTCAAAATACAACACTATTCTGAAAGTCTTATAAATGCTAGAAACACTTTACATTTCTCACACCATCTTTCTTCTGAAGATCTCAAAGCACTTTTTATATCCATTATCTCATTTCCTCATATAAATAAGGAAACTGAGAATAAGGAAACTGAGAGACAACTACTATGTGATCTAGTTAAGGCAGTTACATGGCTTAGAATGGCTGTGGATGTTGCATTTTTTTTACACCTAAATTCATCCTTCCTGAAGGACCC